CCCCTGCAGGGCTCCCAGCTCCATGGGGCGCCCCACAACCCCATCCTGCAAAGCCGTGCCCCCAGCTCCACAGGGCGCCCCCCAACCCCACCCCCCTGCAGGGCTCCCAGGCCCTGACCCGACCCAGCCGTCCCCTCCTGGCTTTGGGCTACAGGGCCTGAGCCAGCGGACGGCAGCATCGGCTCCATACGGGGCACCTGAGTCCCCGCCTCGGCTGCTCAGCTGCAGCGCAAGGCAGAGCCCTGCGTGCCTCAGTTTCCCCAGGACGGTCACCCCCCCGGGATCATTAAATGGGGTGGAGGGAGGCTGAAGCAGTGATGGGGGTGGATGGAGCAGGCACGGGCAGTCTCCAGGGAGTGGGAGGAGATCTTGGGGACCTCACCCAGAGCCCATCCTACCCCGCCCCGAGGGGGCAAGCAGGAAGATGACCAGGCAAGCCCGGCGCAGCCGGGTCTCTTCAGCGCACCCCTGCTCCAGTACCCTGTGGGCACCGTGGCGGGGCTGGGGGCCCGTGCCCGGGGGGTGCACGGCTCCAGCGAGTCCTGGTCGAGTTCACCCCGAGCGAGGGGCCTGGCCCCACGCTGCATTGGGACCCCCCCCGAGCTCCCTGGCAGAGGCCGTGTCTTTGCTGCGGAGGACGGCCAGCCCCCCCATACCAGTCTGATCAGCGCCCAGGAGACCCCAGCAATTAATGGCAGGCCTGCCCCCTGCGTCTGAGCCCAAAAGCCTGGTCTTCTGCCGCTCCGTGCAGCCCCACGGGCTACGTAGGGATCCCAGGAAGGCCTGCTGTGACCCCCCACCCCGGCGGGCCCGAGGCGCCTCTTTCACCTGCGCAGTCATCTTTGCATCAGCCGCGTCCCTCGGGGCCCCCCGGGCCTGGTCCCTCGGGCTCTGCACTGCAGCCCTGGGGCAAAAACAGCTCCAAAAACTACGTGCTTGGGGCGTGCGCCCCCCACCCAGCCGGGGAGGGGCCGCGTGTGCCCAGCAGCTCCCCGGGGACGCTAGCGCTTGCTCGGTCTCTGTGCCGGGTCCCCCTTGGGCAGGGGGCTCTGGCCGCCCCAGTCCCGGGGGGGTTGGGGTTTCACCCCATCCGGGGAGGCCTGGAGCTGGGGGTGCCCCCATACCTCCCGCGCCAGCGTGGACCTGGGGCCTGCGGGACCCGGCGCACGGACCCCTGGACTGTGGTCGTGGGGCCGGCTGGACTGCCCCCCCCGCTGAGTCACGGGCCTGATCCTGCTGACTCAGCACTGCCCAAGCCGCTGTGGGTGTCCAGGCGCTGCCCGGGGCGCAGGGGGCCCCACAGCGAGTCCTAGCCCCGGCACTGCTGGTGGAGAGTCTCCTGCCAGGGGAGGGGGGGTCAGGCAGGCCCCGCAGCCTCCAGGGGGCTGGGCAGGACCCCCTTGCAGTGCCCATGGCCGGATGGAAGGGGGGGGTCACCCAGGCGGGTTGGCTCTTCCCGTGTCAACCCGGGAACCATAGCAACCGGCTCCCCCCCTACTGGTCCCCCATTGGTTGCCATGACAATGAGTTACCCCCCCCCCAGGATCCAAACTAGCCAATGACAGAGCAGCTGGGGCATCG